CTACGCAATATTTTGCCTTAGTGCCACGCCATTTGGATTACTAGAACGTTAAGCTACCTTTCACGGGTAGAACTCAAATACTAAACGCAAGCAACACATGAGAAATCATGGCCAACATTCTTAAAACAAAAGGGAAAATGGAGATTATGGCATCGCCATTAACATGGAGCACGATGAACTATAAGAGCAGCATCTAAAACTTCAAACAGCAAGAGACCAACACGAACACGAACGCTAAGCCAAATCAATTTAATTCCATAACATCTCCCATATAGTTCAAAGAAAGAGCAATTAACATTTCAAAGGAATCAAAACCTCACCTGAGTCTCTATAATTCCCTGAACCACACATTCCATATCTGCTACGCTCAGCTGCATTACACAAGAGATGCACGTATTATCCACACAATTTAACACATGCGATAATTCCTCCAACATTTATATAAATAAAAAATAAAAAAAAGAACGTAATTCATTCTAACACGAAATTGAAATACATCATCTAAATCATTCCAATCCTTGAGAAAATAAAAAAAGTAAAAAAAATAATAACACACTTGCTAAATCACGCATAATCAACCGACTGTAATTTCGCAAAACGTGACATAAAAGAACAAAAGAATCACAGACAAGAAACACTCACAAGCATCAAGTTTCGTTCTCTGATTTCATTTATATTAGAAAGCTATGGCTAATCGGCGAGGATGCAACAGAATACGAAAAGAATGATGCGAAAACCCCAAACTCAAAGCATAAGAAATGTGAAGGATTGGTGTTCACAGAAATTAAAATACAAAGTTAATTGACCTCTTTAGTGTGACACCCTTACTACCCCAACACATATATCGAAATAATATAATAAAATTAAGAAGAATAATCTTAATACAAGTTGGTAAAAGGGTTCACGTAAAACTTTATAACTGTAATTTCTCAAATGACTGAAGAATAAAACTTAAAAGGTAAAATAACAACCATAATATGTACCATTAAATAATAACAATAAATTTTTTATAATTAAATTAATTACATATGTTTATGTAATTAATAAACTGAATGTATTTGTCAAGTTTAACCTTTTTTTACAATTATTTTTTTTTGGTGTATTATTTTTACAAAGAATTTAATTTTACTCAAGTTATTAAAAATGAAAATTTTAAATATCTCTATTTTCTAAATTGATTTTTTTCCCTTTAAAGTTATAAAAAAAATCATATTTAAAGTTACTATCTTATGCAAATTATGAACAAAATTAACGAAATTAAATGTCAATAAATAATAAACAACATTTTAAATAAATAATAATTAAATTGCATAATGTCATATTTTTAAAATAATTAAACAATTTAAAATGAAAATTATTTACAACTTTTCATTAAATAAATTTGTCTTTTTCCATATGATAGTTTGGAGACACTTTTGCATGCACTAAAGAAGTCAATAAAACACAGAAAAAATGTAGTAGAAAAAAAATGAAAATGAGATTGAAAGAATGTACCAGAACAACTTTTTAGGAGCATTAATTAGTGAAAAATTAATTTTTCCATAAAAATGAAGATGAACTGGTAGATGACAAACTGCATAATTCCAACAAATCTCAAAATGTTTACACAGTATGTTAATAATCTCTAATCTACACTAACACTCTATAATTCACAGATTTTCACCCAAAATCACAAACAAATCATACAAACAATAACCGGGAATAAAAACTGCAAAACTAACAAAATATCATTTTGAGTCCTTACATGCGATAAATTTCTAAGTAAAATAAAGTAAAAGGAAAAGCGTAATATGCGAATATATAATAGTTATGAAAATCAAATAATCCATTAAATATTTTTTTACAACCGCACATTATGAAAGGGATCGTATCATCCTCTACGAAAATATAGGACAGAAAAATAGAAAGGCAAAAAATAAATTTTTTTAATAAAATAAAGTGATGTAACAAATTTAAAGTCACGTAGCGAAAATTGAAATAAATGAATGAGTGAATTTACAGACAAATGAAACAAAACGAAAGACTAAATGTGACTTCCTGTGTCATGCGTATGAATGCACGTGTGAACCACAAATTGGGATGCACTTAAAAAAAAAACTATTTCTTATATCATGGACACACCAAAAATAAATTTAAACAAAATAAAAACACTGTATGTGCTTTTATTATCAGAAACACAGAGACAGAGGGATAAAAACGTTATGGTGGAAACGATGTGTTTCACGTTTGAATCATCCTGGAATTGAAATAGTCAACCTTATAAACCAGAAAGACGTACTTAAAAATAGAGTTAGATTTGTATGTAGTGAGGCGGAGAAGAACACAAATTTCAGTGAAGTAACGCGTTCTTAATTAACGAATTAGGGCCCCATTCACGCTACTAAATTAATTTTTTCATTTTTTTTCCACTTTTTATTCCATTGATATTTTCTATTATTTATTTGACATATTAGAAAAATTTTAAATAAAAGTCACCATTAAGAATATGTTCATGATTCACGTTAAATTTCAAAACTTTGCTTTAATTTTATTTAACAACCATAATATGTACCATTAAATAATAACAATAAATTTTTTATAATTAAATTAATTACATATGTTTATGTAATTAATAAACTGAATGTATTTGTCAAGTTTAACCTTTTTTTACAATTATTTTTTTTTGGTGTATTATTTTTACAAAGAATTTAATTTTACTCAAGTTATTAAAAATGAAAATTTTAAATATCTCTATTTTCTAAATTGATTTTTTTCCCTTTAAAGTTATAAAAAAAATCATATTTAAAGTTACTATCTTAATACATTTAAAAATTTAAATATATAACTACCACACCATGCTAGGGTCACGCCCTCCCTGTAGCACCACTTACCCAGGGGCCGTGCCATCCCAAGTCATCGATGTGAGGCATCACAATCACAATCATAATCACATCCACACAACATCTCATCTCATTATTCAAATTCATATCACGTACCAATTCCATATCACATACATAACAGATAAGCTCAACAAAGTAGGGTTTACATACCCATCAAGCAATTCACATCAATATTATCCATCCTTAACAAGTAATATAGCAATAACATTCATAAAATTAATATGATAATCAATAGAATAATCAACAATAAAACCCCTACTTATTCCAAATCTAGCTCACCACATTTTACCATTTATTCTTCCTCCCAGATCATCATTCCTACACTTTGGCATATTTATAAACCTCAACACAGATAATTTAATGGAACTAATAATTCTCCAAATAAATAATTATAAAATTAATCATGATTTTAAAGAATTCTTCCTCTACCCAATTCCCTCATGTACTCTACATATAAATAATCTCCTTTTTCCCTGTACCTGGATAGATAGTAACTTGGGCAGAACCTCCTCTTCTCTTTCGTTAAAGAGTAACCGAAACTCGGACAGAACCTCCCCCTCTCTCTCCTTAAACGGTAACCGGAACTCGGGCAGAACCTCTTCTTCTCTTTCCTTAAACAGTAATCGAAACTCGGGCAGAACCTTCTCCTCTCTCCTTAAACGGTAATCGGGACTCGGGCAGAACCTCCACCTCTCTCCTTAAACAATAACCAGAACTGAAACTAGAGCAGAACCTCCTCTTGTGGATTCATCTTTCTCTCTTTCCTCTTTCTCTCTCTCCTCTTCTCTTTCTCTCTCTCTCTCTCTCTAAAATTTCACTTTCTTCTTCTGTTACAAAATTTTCACCCTCCTGTCCCTATTTATAGGCAAACTAGCGCACCCGGAACGGCCCGTACTGAATTTAGAACGGCCCGTTCTGGATCCTTCAAACATGGGTAAATTTTTCAACTGGAACGGCCCGTTCCAAAACTAGAACAGCCCGTTCCAAATCCCAGCAGAACGGCCCGTTCTGGGCCTGTTCTCCCTCTAGAACGGCCCATTCCAAATCAGAACGGCTCGTTCTCCTCGTTGGAACGGCCCGTTCTCCTCGTTGGAACGGCCCGTGCTCCTCGTTGGAACGGCCCGTTCTGGGGCCGTTCTCAACCTAAAATTTCAGTATCCTTTTATTGATTGGAACGGCCCGTTCCAAGTTACCCATTTACCCCTCAAACTTTAATAAAATTGCAAAAATGCCACTAATATTTACAAAAATACCCCTAAAGCTTAATAAATTTACGAAAATACCTAATAATAATATTAAAATAATAGGGTGTTACATTTAGTTTCTGCACTGATGAACAAGAAGAAGCCTCTGTGCTCTTGCGATGATGGAGATTCTTCAATATTCGCAAGTAACGATCCGTTACACGAGCACCGCGAGTCAGGTATATGAACTTCTTTCGGTTTTATGATACGACGTCGTCTGTGCGGTTACTAGTGTTGACTCGGCCTTTTAAATGGCTCATAAGTCATAATTACCCTTCTCTTATATTCAATAATTTTACATTTTTATTCTTACTTTTTACCTTACGAAAAACAACTCAAAATTGTGTAGTAAAAAAACTAAAACGCTCGCGCACTCTTCAAAATATGTAAGTTTGTGTCTGGGTAAGGAATTTTTAAATTTTAGATAATTTAAAATTCTTTACTTTTAATTGAAATTCTTTTATTTTTTAAATATGTTATTTAGATGGAGTAATTTCTAAAT